AGACCACTATGGAATATCTGAAAGCACTGGATGTTTGTTTTGTCCTATTGTGGAACTCCTCAGCAGTGCACATTCAAGAACCTGTCACGCGAGATTTAATTTTGTATATGCTTAGAAATATTAATGTATATTCGAGTAAAGCCTGATGAGGATGTAATCAAAACAATATTTTTCGCTTATACAATATGGGAATTTAAATTTCACTTGATGTTGTTTTCCTTTTATCTTCTCATTAAACAAGCTAGTGGCTATTAGGACTTAATAGCTAAGTGGATGACGCGATGGTATTTGAAGCGAACGATTATGGGTTCGAGTCCCGAAGTGAATATCAACTCTAAGATACAGGTACATTCAGGTGAAGAGACACAAGTAGTACGAAACCCTTGTCAAACTGGGTTCTACTGCTAACCACCATCCATTTTTTTCTTACTTTGTTGTTTTTTGGTGGAGTTTCATAATCTAGGCTGTATGATTTGATCAATGACGTTCTCTTATCATCTTTCTGGATAAACTATCAGCATAAACTTCAGACAGAAGTAAATATTCGAATTTCGTCACATATGACTGACAGGCTAACCTAACAGAACAGCTGTTCTGTCAACTTAATCGAGAGAATAAAACTCCACGAAAATCATCTACCTGATCCATAGATCTCTTATTCTAGTGTATATTTCCTTTGAGCTCTTAATTGCGAATTACTTTCATCATAATCTTAAGTGGATTATTTGTTTCCAAGTGGGATATTTGTATCTAGTATATATCATTATTTTGTTTTTATTAACTTCATCATATGGATAAGTTTGAGTCAGTAACTGTAATCATATTGTGTCTAATGAGGAAACCTTTGAAAAGGAATCTATGTTATTGTAGGGCCAGTGAAATGTCACTGAGCCATATAACCAATACATCCGGCAGTTGGGTCAGATCATCGATCTCTGTCAAAGTCAACGACAATCAACGCACATTAGTTAATCATATGCCATGGACTGACCTATACGGTGGTGGTTTCGCTATCTTCTCCGTACTCATTCTTACTAATATCATTCTTTGTGTTATACGGTCTTCAAAACATCCATAGTAGTTTGACACGTCGAGCGGTTAATCCATGTGAGGTGTGACTTTTACGTTAGTTGGTTGGTTATACAATTCCCATCTAACTGAAGTAGGCCTTCAATTATTAAACATAGATCATCTACGTTGGTGATCTATGTTATTATCTTTTCAAAGTCAACGATGTCATCATTCAGACTTGTGACTTTGGATAAATAATTGTATCTATGATTACTTAATTCCACACACACACACACACACGTAGTATCTAACTGTCTGAATCCTTTTCATAAACTATCGATTTGGGATCAGGAATATTACTCATTTGAAATTCATCCCTGAGTGATATACAATAAATTAATATACTCAGCCGAGTTCCTTCGGAGGTCACGAGGCTGATGCCTCTTCTGACAACCAGAGTAACCATTAACTTTCGTACATGAAATATTCATACAATGTGGGAGACCTGGAAAGTCATCCGAATTGCTGCAGAAATGAAAAGATACAATGTGGAGGCGCTTGGAACCAGTGAAACACATGGGACACAGGATGGACAAAAAAAGACTAGCTTCGAGGGACCTGATGTTATATTCTGGCCATGAAGAACAAAATGCTCTACACACACAAGGGGTTGCACTGAAACTATCTCCATATACCACGTAGTGCAAAGCATCGAATTCATTGTTGACAAGAATCGTAGCAATAGTAATCAAATTGTAGCGGTAAATAGATCCCCAGAATAAATAGTCCTGTAGATCTTCGAGCTTTGATGGTGACCACATTAGTTTCAATGAACAGATTTAGCTGAGGGCGCTTGGTCACGCATCCGCACCAGATTACAAGTGGGTACATTGTGTTCAACTTCGCCTGCAACCGCTAACCAGTTTAGATCCATCACTTCTCAATATATTGATAACCTATCAGGGCAGCATTCCTACAACTGTCAACAAATATCAAAGTCAGAATCTTCAATACCAGCGTCAAGATAGTTCTACGGTTCGGAGCTGAAACTTGAAGAACTTCCACAATCATCATCAAGAAGGTAAAAGAATTTATAAATAGTTGTCTACGCAACATACTCAACATCCACTGATCGGATACCATCTGCAACAGACTTCTGTGGGAGAGGACAAACAAGATTCCAGCTGAACATTAAATTAGGAAAAAACGATAGAAATGGATAGGACATATATTACGTATATCACCACACTGCATCACGAGGCAAGTCCTAACTCGGAATCCCGAAGGGAAGCGGAAAAGAGGACGGCCAAAGAATACACTGCGTCGGGAAATATAAGCAGATATGAAAAGGATGAATGAAAACTTGGGAAGAGCTGGAAAGGATTGCCCAGGACAGGGTTGGATGGAGAGTATTGGTGAGCGATCTATATTCTTCCATGAGGAGTAACAGGCGTAAGTAAGTAGGTAAGTAAGCATCAGGTATATTTTCGAACCTATTCACTTCTGATTTCTGATTTCATTAGGTTGACGCGTTTCGATTATAGGAGTTGTTATTGGTTAAAGTGTTGTTAAAATCCAAATACTTGTGGTATCTTCAGTTTCTTTTCGAATAGCTCCCATATATTTCCGCTTGTTTTCTTTGTATTTTCAACAGTAATATCTTTTGTAGCGGTTAGTTTAATTTCCTTCTCAAACGCTCTAGTATGGCCGAGAGTGGAGAGAGTCCGCTCACCCTCTCGAAATGCTCTCACATGGCCACGCGCATATATCCTCTTCCAGGGAAGTCTTACTCACTGCCAGGTTGGTAGACACAGAGAGTCCACCTAGGGGAGTTGGAAAACCTTGATTATAAACCAATGGAGCACATGGGCTTCAGAATCATAATGGAACAAATAAATTATTATTATAATAATCGAGGTCGCGGTGTTGTTTACAAAATTAAGAGAACGAAAAGCGAATGTCTGGCGCTTTAACTGCGTTAGTGGACATGGAGAGTCAACCTAGAGGAGTTGGAAGACCCTGATTCCAAACCAATGGAGTTAGCTCCAGGATCCCAAAGAACCAAGTGGCGTATAAACCGATCGTTGGTCACTGGCTACCATGTGACTGTATCTCCTCACGTTGCTCCACTACCTTGTGGATCAGACCTTGAAGTCGAAGGTTCCAGGTGTGTCCTCCTAAGAAAACCACCTGATTCGGTTTGGGCACCGGGACAGTTATCACAACCCTCAAACAGATCGAATGATTTATGTGGTGAATACTTATTTGGTGCCTCTTTGTACCAATAGTTATGTGTTTAAATAAATTATAATAATAATAATAACACTGTTTCTTGTTAAATCATCTTCAGTTTGTCTTCATTTTATGTCATGAATGGAACACTAGAGCTTTGAGTCTCGTGAAGAGTTCTCAACCAAAAGAAACACCTAGTTAATATTCATTCGTACACGTTTCCCATAACAACTAGTTCGTGTTATAACTATCCATGAGTTGATAATTTTCAACGTTAATCTAATTGAGATCACTTGATTGGAAAATAGCATGTACACCGTAAAATTTAAGAAAACATTCTTATGTAATTATATTTGCATATTGATCCAAAACCTTGAACAAATATGGGTTTCAACAGGGGAACATAAATCAAAATGCAACACAGTGTTAAGTTACAAGTAAGTGGAGATCTTGAAAACTTGACTCTATAGATACGATGATCAAGGACCAGTTACACTCCTGTAGCTAATGATTTAATTACTTACTTACTTACGTCTGTTATTCCCAATGAAGCATAGGTTACCAACCAGCATTATCCAACACACTCTCTCCTGGACCTTCCTTCTTAGTTCCATCCAATTCTTGTTCATTTTTCTCATGTCTGTCTCCATTTCCCGGCGTAATGTGTTCTTTGTTCTCCCTGTTTTCCTTTGATGTAGAGGATTTCATGTGAGGGCTTGTCTTGCGACGCAGTTGTGTGCTTCCTTCAATTTGTGTCTTATCCACTTCCAGCAATTCTTCCTAATTACTTTCTGTACTGGATTTGATTACGTCAACACTACCATCCTTCAATGTTAATTAGATCTTCTTTGATGAACATAATCTATTCCATTATTATATAATATCATTATGTCAATTATAGTATAATCATTAAGATCATGAGTCAGTTGAAGCTAGACCACCATGGAAAACCTGGAAGTACTGTTGAGGAGTCCCACAATAGGATGAAACGGCCGTCCAGTACTTCCAGGTTTTCCATCGCAGTCTAGCTTCAACTGACTCATGATCTTAATGATTGAAATCACTACAATCTCCACAAAACCCCTTCTCATAATATAATCATTAACTTTGTACCTAAATATGGTGTATAGATCAAGATAGGTTCAATTGTTTCTCATATATATTATCTATATAATTGTTTATCTTTTAAATAATCATTTAATCTTCTAAAGAATTCATTACATTGATTGATTGTAGTACAGTACAAAGATCATAACACTTTATTCCAATTGTAAATTAACATTAATCCCTTAAATAGTTTGACTATACTTTATACAGTTTATATAGTTGTTGAAATACCTATCAGTAATCATATTATTATTATTATTATTATTATTATTATTATTATTAGTAGTAGTAGTAGTAGTAGTAGTAGTAGTAGTAGTAGTAGTAGTAGTAGTAGTAGTATAGTAGTAGTAGTAGTAGTAGTAGTAGTAGTAGTAGTAGTAGTAGTAGTAGTAGTAGTAGTAGTAGTAGTAGTAGTAGTAGTAGTAGTAGTAGTAGTAGTAGTAGTAGTAGTAGTAGTAGTAGTAGTAGTAGTAGTAGTAGTAGTAGTAGTAGTAGTCAGTAGTAGTAGTAGTAGTAGTAGTAGTAGTCGTAGTAGTAGTAGTAGTAGTAGTAGTAGTAGTAGTAGTAGTAGTAGTAGTAAGTAGTAGTAGTAGTAGTAGTAGTAGTAGTAGTAGTAGTAGTAGTAGTAGTAGTAGTAGTAGTAGTAGTAGTAGTAGTAGTAGTAGTAGTAGTAGTAGTAGTAGTAGTAGTAGTAGTAGTAGTAGTAGTAGTAGTAGTAGTAGTAGTAGTAGTAGTAGTATTCATAGTAGTATTGTCACTACCATTGATTTGATTATTACAATGAAATGTAAGTGAATAATATTGATTTAATTGAATGAATGATATAAATTCCTTGAATGTTTTCATTGATATTTAAGACTGCAATGGATCCGTCTCTCTCTCTCTAGTTCTCTCTCTTTTGTTGGTATCTATGGGGATCCTGTGTAGATTGTCTCGATATTACCTTAAGTTACAAGTATTATAAGCAAAGATAGTGTAGATTATCAATGTAGATGATCTATGTCGAATGATCGGAGGCCTATGGGAGTTAGACCGGTATGGTGTGATGAACCAGTTAACATTGAAGTCACACCTCGTGGTCAGCACCTTACGTGGACTACCGAATTGATGTATCAAGGTACTATAGACTGTATAACACAGATGATGTTATTACAGATATATATTTGTTAAAGTAAATATAAGCGAAAGTAACACCATTGCCGCATGAGCCAGTGCATGGTATACGAATAACTAATGAGCGTTGTTTGTCCTTGACCTTGAGGAGGATTGATCATTTGCTCGATATTCAATGACCCAATTTCCGGATGATTTGGCTAGGGTTCAGTGACATTTCACTGGTCCTACAATAGATAATGACTAGCAGTGGAATCCAGTTTGAAACGCGTTTCGTCCTATTTGTTACTCGTCAACTGGATGTACCTGCACCCAGAGTTGATGTTCAGTATCCATCTTTGCTTACAAAATTATTAAATTAATTTCAGAGTTTTACTTTCATGTTTGATAAAAATCACATTTTAATAGTTAAATTCATGAGTCAATTAAAGCTAGACCACCATAGAAAACCTGAAAGGACTTGACAACCGTTTCGTCCTACTATGGGACTCTTCAGCAGTCCGAATCCACAACGCTACCTGCAAGATTTGAATCCAGGACTTATCAGTCTTTTGCGCGAGTGCTTAACCTTCAGACCACTTAGCTGGCATCCAACGGTATCAATGTCTAACTTCAGCTGATAAGCTCTGGGTTCGATTATCGTGAGGCGGGATTTTGAATGAGTACTGCTGAAAAGTCCCACACTAAGACGAAACGACCTTCCAATACTTCCAGGTTCTCCATAATGGCCTAGCTTCAATGGATTCATGAATTCAACTATTAAAATTACTAATATATTCTTTCACTAATCGTAAAAAATGATCTTCTTTTAACTTTAGTTCAACAACATCTAGGTAGTTATCTAACACAATCGAATAGTAACCAAGTAGGTTATTGATTTATTTGTTTATTCAAATTACATAACATCATATATATTTAGATGATTATGGAACCAATTCAACGAATATCTGGTATAACATTTTATAATAAGGTAATTGAATCCATAAATGATACTATATTGGAAAGGTTAGTGGTATAGCTTTAATACAATTAATTATCATATGGGGTATGAATACTACTGTCATATTAATGTAAGTTTATTTTATTCATTTAAACAATTGATACTACTTATTATTTAAGTAATACATTCAAGGAATGGTTAACATCTACAAACTGGTTTGTTGGATTGTTTTTGTAAGTTATTATTAGTATACTACTACTACTACTACTACTACTACTACTACTACTACTACTACTACTACTACTACTACTACTACTACTACTACTACTGCTACTCCTCCTCCTCGTCCTCGTACTACTACTACTACTGCTACTCCTCCTCCTCCTACTACTACTACTACTACTACTCCTCCTCCTCCTACTACTACTACTACTACTACTACTACTACTACTACTACTACTACTCCTACTACTACTACTGCTACTCCTCCTCCTCGTCCTCGTACTACTACTACTACTACTACTCCCACTACTGCTACTCCTCCTCCTCCTCCTACTACTACTACTACTACTACTACTACTACTGCTGCTGCTGCTACTCCTCCTCCTCCTTCTGCTCCTACTCATTTGGTAAATGCCATAATTTTGTAATTATATTTTGGAAATTTGAATTTCTTGGTTTTCGCGTCAAAAGCGCTTTTTTCACCTTCATGTCGTATTTTCCACTTGACAGAATCTTGAACGCTATTGATTCATTGTTACTAGGTTTGAAGTGGTTACGAGTTCACTTAGACTGAGAACGAAACAAAGACTTGTGACTGAAGACCAATAAGCTAGATATTCTGATGCATCCTAGACCCTCTTAACTAGAGGAAGAAGTTCAAGCTTGGAATGGGGAAGTATATTCTGGAAACTGCAAGAAACGAGCGATAACAACACACACAAATCAAAACGTATATATACATATACAGCACAAAACCGTCCTTGGGGAGAGTTAGCAAATAACATACTAAAACTGTTACTTCTAAACAAAAACTAAATAGATGTACACAACTGGGAATAACCACCACAAGGATTAAGAGAAGGCAATTATGATAATAAATACGGTAAATTTTATAAGTGTATGTAAATACTTTGGGATATGACACTAGCAGTAAACTTGTATCACCTTATACGATTAGAAATTACTAGAAGCAGAACTGTTTACTGAATATTTAATAAGTAGTATAAAACAATAAACAAAATATAAGTCATATTAGGAGAGAATAGGGACAGAAAATGCAAGCGAATTTAACACCCAATGTGTTCTAATACGATTGAGATTTCGGTCGGCTTTTCATTATTAAATCAACTTATTCAGGATATAGAAGGCTAGAATAGTGAGAAAAGTAAGGATATCAAAAGCGAATATAAGAGGAAACTAATAATACTGTAGGTGCAGTGAAATATTGCTTAGCCCTAGTCAAATAATCCGGCAGTTGCGTCACTGAATATCCATGCGGTGGTGGTCGCATTTTCTCCCTTGTACCTACGTTAGCTAATATATATTTCTGTAATAACGTTCTTTTTGATATACGGTCATCAAAGCATTCATAGTACCTTGATACGTCGAAGGGTTGATCCACGTTAGACGTTGATTGCGATATGTGACTTCGAAGTTATCTGGTTGTTCACATCATTCCCATCTAACTCGAGTATGCCTCAAATCATTTCGACACATATCATTTACTTTGGTGATCTTCAATACGATCAGAGTGACAGGAATATAAACAGATGTTTCAGTGATTAGTTACATCAAATTAATGCCAGCTTCCACAATGAATTGATCGTGAAAACGATTGGGTACACTTCAATCTACTTTAAATCGGTAAGTAGTATGAATGACTCACGAAAAGTTAGGTTAACATGAATTTAAATTTGGTGAAAGTATCATAACAAGATTCAATCGTAACCTCATCAATTCTATTTAGTCAAAATCAATTTTTTCACATTTGAACCTGGCAAATCCGTGATGTACAATGATCATTATCCATTGCATTCAATGCATAACCATCATAATCCCTATATGATTTATCTAAATCTATTAAATTATCAGTCCTTATTTCTGTATCATATTTAGTTTATTTGAAAATTATAGTGTGAAATTCATCTTGCTTATCGTTTTTAATTTTTCACATGAATATATTTCAATGTATATATGTGTTTTATGATTATTACAGCTTTTTGGGACTCTTTATTGATTTGGAAATCGTTCTGTTCCCAAGGGTACAATTTATTTTTCCATTAAATTATATACTATTGATACTTAATGTAAGTAGTTAGAAAAAAACATTTAAAAATATTTACCATTATCATCATTATATGATTTGATGTCGATAGTATATAGTTAAGTTGATTCCTTTTTTTAATATAAAAATACATTGATTCAAATGGGTTATTCTAATTCAAAACATTTAGAGTCAATACATATAAAAGATCAAATGACTGGTTAACTGCACGGTTTCATTTCATCCTAATGAGTTGAGTGACCAGGTTCTAGAATTTCTAATGATGGTTTATATAAAGTTGGTATCCCGTTCAGGACACTTAAACAGCTTCATGGAATTGACTTTGTAGCTGATATTAGGTAGTTGGATGTAGTCAGAAGAAAAACCTGAACATATGTTTTGTAATAGTTGGCACCAATAAGAACTACAACAACCATCATCAAGAAGGTACAAGTATTTATAAATAGTTGTCTACGCAACATACTCAACATCCATTCGACGGATACCATCAGCAACAGCCTTCTGTGGGAGAGAACAAACCAGCTTCCAGCTGAAGAGGAAATTAGGAAAAGACGATGGAAATGGATAAGATATACATTAAGCAAATCATCAAACTGCACCACGAAACAAGCGTCAACTTGGAATCCTAAAGGGCAGTGAAAAATAGGAAGGTCAAAGAGCACACTGAGTCGGGAAATAGAATCAGATATGAAAAGGATAAATAACAACCGGAATGGATTGCTCAGGATAAGATTGGATGGAGAGTGCTCCATGAGGAGTAACAAGCGTAAATAAATAACTAAGTAATCAATATACCACATTCATTTTGTTGACGAGTGTCTGCTAGTATAAAACTTAGTTAGAGCACTTTCTGTTAGTTGAACACAATTATCAAAATATACTGGCTGCAACACAATGCTTGATCATTTAGACTAGTGAAAATATTGCAAATTGAATGATATGGTTCAATCAGCCACTTTCGAATACACACTTCATACATCTATAATAAGCTAACAGCTCAATTTGTTAATCAATGCTCGTTCATAGCTTCGTTCCATACATTTCACAAACACTAACATTCAAATGAATGTAGAGTGAAAAAACAGTACAGTAAAAGATTTGAAAGTGAAATGTCACTGATCCCTAACCATATCATCTAGCAGTTGGGTTACTAAACATTGAAAAGATCATCGATCCCTGTCAAAGTCAAGGACAACCAATGCACATCTGTTAATTGTATGCCATGGACTGGTCCATGCGTTAGTGGTCACACATCCACTTATACCTACTTCAACTAATATATATTGCTGTAATGTGATGTATGGTCTTCAAAGTATTCATAGTACCTTGATACGTCGAAGCAGTAATCCACGTTAGATACTGACTGAGAGATGTGTCTTTGACGTTAGATGGTTAGTTATACCATTTCCATCAAACTCCAGTAAGCCCCCAAATCATTCAACAGAGATCATCAACGTTAATGATTGACACTATTCTGTCAAATGATTACTACATTTCATCAAAAATTATGAATGATTTTTTGATTGAGATCATGAATCGACTGATGTTAGACCACCGTTGGATAATTAACATGTGTTGACTAGTGACTAGCTTCGTGAGTGAATTCTCGGAGTTTCTAGTGAGAAACCGTGACCAGTGGAGCTAATCCGTGTCGGGTAGAGACAGGTATCTACCTCAGTACAATCGAAGATGGTCGCGCAATTTCGTGGATTGGTTGATATTAGACACTAACACCATTGGATGCCGGCTCAGTGGTCTAGTACGTTAAGCGTTCGCGCGCGAGACTGAAGACCCTGAGTTCAAATCCCGTGAGCTGAATCATGGATGCGCATTGCTGAGGAGTCCTATACTAGGAACAAAGTGGCCGTCCAGTTGTTTCAGGTTTCCAACGGTGGTCTAACATCGGTCGATTAATGATCTCAATCAAAAACTTAATAATCTCCACAACCCCAATAATGATAATAAATGATTATTCAACAGATAGATGATCTATCATATTGATTCCCTATTTTATTTGTTTTCATTCAATAGTCATTCATTCTATCAATTCCATTGACAAGGCTACTATGTGAATTGAAAATGTTATGGATTCCAAGTAGTTGGATTATTACATTGGGAATAACATTGTTAACTATAATATTTGGCAAATTTATACGATTCGATATACAAACATCATTGAATATATTCTTTACTGCTATATTGACTTTACAAGCAATAGTATATATTGTTATGATTATATTAAATTATTATGATTACTTTGATGTAAGTAAGTTATAATTTAAACAATTAAAGAGAGTTGAATTCATGATTCAGTTAAAGCTAAACTACCATAGAAGATGGTCGCGCCTTCAGTCTCGCACGCGAACGCTTAACCTACCAGACCACTGAGCCAGCATCCAATGGTGTTAGTGTCTAACATCAACCAACAATCCTATACTGATAATGACCATGTACTTACTGTTGACTAGCTTTGTGAGGGAATTCTCGGAGTTCTAGTGAGAAGCTGTGACCAGCGGAGCTAATCCGTGTCGGGTAGAGACAGGTATCTACCTCAGTAAAATGGAAGATGGTCGCGCAATTTCGTGGATTGGTTGATATTAGACACTAACACCATTGAATGCCGGCTCAGTGGTCTAGTACGTTAAGCGTTCGCGTCCGAGACTGAAAGCCCTGGGTTCGAATCTCGCGAGCGGGATCGTGGATGCGCACTGTTGAGGAGTCCCATAATAAGACGAGACGGTCATCCAGTGCTTCCAGGTTTCCAACAGTGGTCTAACATCAGTCGATTCATGATCTCAATCGAAAAGTTATGGAAAATATTGAATGATTTCAGTAGAATTAAAAATCTTCATATGTATTAACTTACAAAGCGAAAAGTTCAATATATACTATTGCTTACTTTGATGTAAGTAAGTAAGTAAGTAAGTAAGTAAGTAAGTAAGTAAGTAAGTAAGTAAGTAAGTAAGTAAGTTAAATTGTATAATTTAAACACTTAGAGAGAGAAAGGAAGATTGTAGAGATTTTAGTAACCTAAGAGATGAATTCATAAGTCAATTAAAGCTAGACGAACATGGAAGCACTGGATGGTCCAGTGATGATGCTGGCTAGAGGTTACGCATTTGTGCATACGACCGATAGGTCCTGGATTCAAATCCCATTGATGCGGGATTGTGGATGGGCACTACTGAGGAGTCACATATTAGGAAGAAACAGTCTTCCAATTCTTCCAGACTTTCCATGGTGGTCTAGCTTCAATTGACTCAGGAATTCAACGATTAAATTGCTGAAAAATCTCCACACACCCCCTTTTGGTAATAATTAGCAATGAACAAATATTTGAAAGGATAATTCTGTGGTTTATTGATGATGCCGGCTCAGTGGTTAAGAGGTTAAGCATTCGTGCACACGATTGATAGGTCATGAATTCGAAACCCTTTGGTATGGGATCGTGGATGTCAACTGGTGAGGAGTTTCATATTAGGATGAAACGATCTTCTAGTGCTTCCAGGTTTTTTATGTTGCTGTAACTTCAATTGATTCATGAATTCGACTATTAAATTTTAAATAATCTTAATTGATATTCATCTTGTTGTGGATAAAGTAGTAAGACATTACACTCATTAGTCCTTATATCTGCCGCTTTCTTTTTTGTTTATGACAAACATCAATGTCATCCCTTTACAGTTATTTTTTGTTGTTGATAAGTTAGCCGTTCTAAATAGACGAATATCTTTATTACGATTTCTGACTACTCCCTATTCCTGTTTGTAAATGAGACTGATAATGAAGTAGTAGAATAAATACTATTAGAGGTGACCAAATTATAAACATCATACATACTTACTTACGCCTGTTACTCCTCGTGAAGGAGCATAGGCCGCTCACCGGCATTCTCCTTACAACCCTGTCCTGGGCATTCCTGTCCAGTTGTCACACATCCTTTTTATATCCGCTTCTATTTCCCGACGTAATGTGTTCTTTGGCCTTCCTCTTTTCCACTTCTCTTCAGGACTCTAATTAGGGCTTGCCTCGTGATGCAGTTTGATGATTTCCTCAATGTATGTCCTATTCATTTCCATCGTTTTTTCTTAATTTCCTTTCCAACTGGAAGTTGGTTTGTTCTCTCCGACAGTAGTCTGTTGCTGATGGCATCCGGTCAATGGATGTTGAGTATCTTGCGTAGACAGCTATTGATAAATACTTGTACCTTCTTGATGATGGTTGTTGTAGTTCTCCAAGTTTCAGCTCCGTACAGTAGAACTGTCTTGACGTTGGTATTGAAGATTCTGACTTTGATATTGGTTGAAAGTTGTTTTGAGTTCCATATGTTCTTCAATTGTAGGAATGCGGCCCTTGCTTTGCCAATCCTCGATTTTACATTTACATCTGACCCTCCTTGTTTATCGATGATGCTTCCCAGGTATGGGAAGGATTCTACATGTTGCAGAGTTTCGCCATCAAGAGTGATCGGATTTCTGTTCTCCGTGTTGTATTTGAGGACCTTGGTTTTCCCTTTGTGTATGTTGAGGCCTACTGATGCAGAGACTGCTGCTACACTGGCTGTCTTTGTCTGCATTTGTTTGTGTGTATGTGATAGGAGGGCTAGGTCATCTGCGAAGTCCAAATCGTCTAACTGGTTCTGAGCTGTCCATTGTATGCCGTGTCGAGGTCTTCATAATCCAGTCGACCACCAGAAGAAAGAGGAAGGGAGAGAGTAGACAGCCTTGTCTTACTCCGGTCCTTACTTGGAATGTATCTGTCGGTTTTCCTCCATGCAAACATCATATCAACGCATAAAGTGCTGGATCACTAGTTAGATACTCTTAGATTTACAGTGATTATTCAGTTAATGTTAGTCAGTGATGATTGTTGTCACTGAATACTTGAACTTACCTTACGACTGTTACTCCCAATGGAGCATAGGCTACCAACAAGCATTCTCCAACACACTATCCCGGACCTTCCTTTCTAGTTCCATCCGAATGTTGTTCATTTTTCTCATGTCTGTTTCCATTTCTCCGTGCAATATGTTCTTTGGTCTTCCTCTTCTCCTTAGACATAGAGGATTCCAAGTGAGGGCTTGTCTTGTGACGCAGTTCGGTGCTTTCCTCAATGTGTGCTCTATCCACTTCTAGTAATTCTTCCTGATTTCTTCCTCCATTGGAATCTGATTTGTTCTCTTCCACAGAAAGTTGTTGCTAATAGTATCTGACCAACGGATCTGAAGTATTTTGCGTAAACATCTGTTAATAAACACTTGTATCTTTTGGATGATGGCATTCGTAGTTTTTCATATTCCCTCTGCATACAGTAGAACAGTCTTGACATTTATGTTGAAAATTCTGATTTTTGTGTTGGTTGACAGACAGTTGTTTTAAGTTTCAGATATTGTTCAGTTGTAGATATACTGCTCTTGATTTGCCGATTCACACCTTCACATCTGTATATCAGATCCACTGTGTTCATTATTGATACTGCCCAGATATATTGTCACTGAATAGTAAATCTTAATCTACACTTACTCATTCAGATATATAATAATAATAATAATTATTATTATTATTACTATTGAATAGGTCATTTTCATTATTTCTGGATCAGGAATGCTATTGACAATCATTTATGTAAGTAATTTAAAAGTATAATTCAAATGTTGATTGTCACTTGTTATGGTTGATATTAGCGGTGTGATTGGTATAAACAATTGTAGATTGTTTATGGATCCACTGAATGGTTGATTATATTTCGGATACAGTATCTATCAATGAAACTTCAAATGTGTGTTCCGTTATGTTTAGAGGTTATGAACAGTTACAATTTGAGTTCTGTTAAGATTGAATATGTGCTCAATATTTCACTACTAACTTCTATTCATAGTATATTAAGGGGTTGATTATGAATATAATGGTCTTGAGTGCTGTTAAAGATGTGAGGGCGGTTATCACTTCCCGGTTTCCCACACCGTGGAAGGGTTCTTCTAGAGGTACCTAAAAAGGAAATTGGATTAGAGGTGGTCTTAATGATCTGAAAGCGTAACCGCAGTACCCAACGAACAACTGCTTGTGGTTAGTCACACACGACCTTTTTATGAGTAATTTTCGTGATAGCTCCGTACTTGTTGAGACCTTACTGCCGAAGACGGATATCCTTGAGATAAGGCGAGGTGTTCATTTTTAGTGTCGACCTATTCTAACCTCAACCCTATTTGTGGGAAGGCAACATCGCTGTTATGCTGGTTGTCTGAAGGAAACGCCTTACTGCCATCACAACTCTGTACAGTCAGCAGTAAGACTTCACTTTCGGACCTTGGATTTGTTGCTTTTAGTCTTACCGCTCTTCAACCGACCTATCCGGCATGGTAGGACCTAGAGGAACGATTGTTTCAGCCAATATAGCTCGATTGTTTCATCACGATAGGCAAGCCCGACCACCGCGTCAAGGTAACAACAACGGTCGGGTCAAAGTATATGAAAGGTTTTAAGCAGTTGTTTGTTTTAAGATATTCTAATTAAACTTCGCAGATGATCTGGCTCTTCTATCGCACACACGACAACAAATGCGAGAGAAAATGACCAGTGTGGCAGCAGCAGTAGGTCTCAACACACACAAAGGGAAAAACAAGATTCTCCCATACAACACAACATGCACCAATCGAATCACACTTGACGGAGAAGCTTTAGAGGATGTAAAAACATTTACATATCTGGACAGCATTACGGACGAACACAGTGGATCTGATACATATGTGAAGGTGAGAATCGGCAAAACAAGAGCAGCATATCAACAACTGAAGAATATCTGGAACTCAAAATAACTATCTGTCAACTAACACCAAAGTCAGAATTTTCAATACAAATATCAAAACAGTTCTACTATATGTGGCGGAAACATGGAGAACTACGAAAGATATCATCCAGAAGATACAAGTGTTTATTAACAGTTGTCTACGCAAAATACTTCAGATCCGCTGGCCGGATACTATTAGCAACAACCTGCTATAGGAGAGAACAAACCAGATTCCAGTGTAGGGAAGAAATCAGAAAGAATTGCTGGAAGTGGATAAGACACAAATTGAAGGAAGCACACAACTGCGTCGCAAGACAAGCCCTCACATGAAATCCTCTACATCAAAGGAAAACAGGGAGAACAAAGAACACATTACGCCGGGAAATGGAGACAGACATGAGAAAAATAAACAACATTCGGATGGAACTAAGAAGGAAGGTCCAGGAGAGAGTGTGTTGGATAATGCTGGTTGGTAACCTATGCTTCATTGGGAATAACAGACGTAAGTAAGTAAGTAATTAAATCATTAGCTACAGGAGTGTAACTGGTCCTTGATCATCGTATCTATAGAGTCACGTTTTCAAGATCTCCACTTACTTGTAACTTAACACTGTGTTGCATTTTGATTAATGTTCTCCTATTGAAACCGATATTTGTTCAAGGTTTTGGATCAATATGCAAATATAATTACATAAGAATGTTTTCTTAAATTTTACGGTGTACATGCTATTTTCCAATCAAATGATCTCAATTGGATTAACGTTAAAAATTATCAACTCATGGATAGTTATAACACGAACTAGTTGTTATGGGAAACGTGTACGAATGAATATTAACTAGGTGTTCCTTTTGGTTGAGAACTCTTCACGAGACTCAAAGCTCTAGTGTTCCATTCATGACATATTAATGGATATGTACTTCTGAAAAGCTACATAAAAAAGAACAATTTTACTGTTTACTATTATTGGGACCTAACACACCTTCCGTTTTTTTTGAAGATCTGGAGTTAACATCCGGATTTTAAATTTTCCAAGTTCATCCTCCCCGCATGAAACAGTGTTGGATCCTCACATATCCAAGTTACGATGAATTTGATTTTATTTGTCAAATTGAACAGAGAATCAACTGAAAGTAACTAAGTGGTCAGAGTGATAACTTCCATCTACACAATGCCTATACATGAATTACGTAATTATATTATATGAACTATATATCATAATGAGTAGAAAGTACTTATGTACTCTTATCTGATTATCCGATATACTGGAGGAAGGTTTAAGGAATAGGTAATTGGTGTGAGATATTGACCATTTGACAAATACAATGGTGAATTAGATGAGTTAATTGTTACAGGTGGGGGGAGAGAGAATAATTAGAAAACATATATCCATTCTTAACTAATTCACTAGAATTTCACAAAATCCTTTGGTATTAATCATTTTCATATTCTGACATTAGCAAACTGAAGATGCTACAAGTATTTGGAGTTTGACCGCATTTTAACCAATAACAGCTTCTATAATCAAAACGTGCCCATCCAATGAAATCAGAAGTAAAGAGGTTCAAAGATATATATTTGATAGGTTATCCATATATTGAGATGTAACTGATTTAAACTGGCTAGCGGTTTTAGGAATAGTTGATCACAGTGTACCCACTTGTGATCTGATGCAGATGCGTACGTGATTGACTTGCCTTCAGCTAGATGAGTTCAGTATCAAATATTAAGTGAGGACTTACAGAACTATTGATTTTGGAAATTTATTTACAGCTACAAAATTAAAGAATAGAGATTAATGGTCACATGAGACTCTTCAGCAGTACACATCCACAATCTCGCCCATTTAGGTTCGAACCCAAGACCTATCCGTTTCTACATGATGATCTAACTTCAAATAACCCATGAATTCAACTTAAAAATCTCCAAAACTCTCCCCCCTCATCTGATTATAATATTTTGTGTTTATTCATTGCCAAAATTGAAATTTACAGTAACCATGGTTACAGACATGATTGATGAGGATATTTATTAATAAAATTATATAAATATATTTTAGGAATTGGCAATTGCAACTCAAGCAATTTTTCCAGGTGATAGACGATTCATATTTCGTGATAATCAATATTTTCTATGTGGATTAGTACTTGCAACAATAATGATATGGATGAATATGATTATTTCCAGTGAAATATTACTTATATACAATCTATTCAATAGTACAATGAATAATAATACAAATCAATATATATGAAAGAAACAAATGGATATATGATGACTGGTCTATGATAGTTTATCATGTCGGTTGCTATGTGAAGCCTTTATACCTTATTCTAACTCTTGAACAGCCCAATCTATTCATTCTACTTGAGTCACATTCTGATCTTGTTAACTATTCGCTTAACTGTTCTTATATGAGTATATATACGTATGCTCTTCTTATCCTACTCATCACATGTTTGTAGCTTATTGCTATGTGAACGCTTGACTAAGTGGGGGGTGGGGGAATAGCTCACATGCATTCTCCACTGCGCATCCTTTCGAATTCACTTTGCTCACTTTTCTTCCCTTACTTCGCTACGTTTCTGAGTATCTATTCAGATTAATGATTGTACGAAATATATGTATTCAAAACATTTATTCTCGTATTTGACTTATTTAATTCCATTATTCACCAACATGATCTAAGTCGATAATTATATCTACAAGGAATGACGATATGTATATCTGAATAGCAATCACAAACAATCTCACTAGAGTCAGATTCCGGGTCACGAAAGTAGTGAGTGAGTTGACAACATCGTCCGATCTAATTGACATCTAAATGAAGGGCCCCAGTACACATTATCTTTTGTCATGTGAAATTGTTATCAAGATCATAAGATCATTCACATTTTGTTTGCAATAATACTAGAAATTGTAACCCCAATTCCATATTTTAAATGAATCTTTCCCGTTTATAGTTATGTGATGTTGTTCTTATTTTGATACATTTCTGTAGGTCTTTAAGTTATTAAGAAAAGATGGATAATGGCTAGTAATGGAATTTAGTTTGACGCATGTTTCGTCCCGTTTGAGACTCGTCAGTGGCTAATGGATAACGTGATGGCATTTGAAGCGAACGGCACTAGGTTCGAATGTTGGAGTGAACATCAACCCTGCGGTGCAGGTACATCCAGCTGACGAGTCCCAAATAGGACGAAACGCGCGTCCTGCACTCTAGTGCTAGCCACTATCCATCTCTGTTTTTAAAAGCTTGTGACTTAAGGGTATATCGAAGCAATCCGCACAGAATGCACATATGCCAACAAGAGACTGATCAATTCCAGTCCTAAATAACAACCGGAAGGTACAAGTAAATCAACATCAAGTAAATTTGTCTTTAAATTATGTTCTCACTGCTTTATAAACGAAGTTGAACTATTCCGTTTTATTCTGCTTGTTCTATCATGAATATAAAGTTCTCATACAATTTGTCTCCACCCTGAGTTAAGCGCTAGTGCTAGTTACTGACATACACAGAAGAACCAGTTGTATTGTAGTGAACCAATCATTCTTTGTCCTCGTTCTCTTCTCTTTGATGTTAACATTCTACCTCCAGGCATTTTATTTCCGATTGATGATACATACTACTTATATCTATCGACATCAGTAGTACACACCACAGTATTAGTACAGCTCAAGTGTTCCTAATTTTGCATGTATTATAACTCGAAATATTAAAACTTAACAGAAACTATAGCAATTCCATATGTCTAAATTAGTTACTTGTTATTTTCAAAAAGAAACTAATCAATCAAGTTTGTACTTATCCAATATTTCAATTAGGTATGATGAGTAGTCTACAGTTGATATACATTTCACTTTCAAACAAACATCTACTTTCTCTTTTGATCTTAATGAGTTTAATACATAGAAAGTAATCCCTATTGTCACACACAGTCCTAGTCAATAGAATGTGGTGTTTGTACGAACTAATGATTCCTTTGTACTTGATTAACTACTGATTACGAAATCTATATAGAATATGTTCTTTTGTATTTATCTAGTTGTATATGCCTTAAATTGCACTATTTCGGATATTTACAGTTAATACATTAATTCGAATACTTCTAATCATCATATTAGTGTTGCGATGGTGTCGAATCTTGGACAATTGGATATTGATTCAAGTGGAGATGACTTCGTAGACTAAATGGATCGGTTCAAAATTTGGTGCATGACTAGAAAAGATATTAACGACTATAGATTTACATCTTATTTTTGAGTTTTCCATAGAAACTGGTTATATTGTTATATGAATCTTCCAAGAAATTACTTCTTAGTAATGTGCAGTTTGCTAGCTTGGAATTGAAGAGAGAGAGAGAGAGAGAGAGAAAGAGCTCAAAGTTTCATAAAGTGATGAGAAAGTTAATGACTTCATACTCATACCGTCAGTCTAGTGTCGCTCAAATGTCGTCCATAAATTATAATGTCACCATGTGCTTCTGAGGTACACTTCTCAATGATAGACACTGTCACAGAACCTCTCGGTCAACAAAGTTAAATACTGCTTTTAAGTCAAGAAAGATTACATCATTGTCAGATGCCAATAAGCATACCTGTGTTCTAAAACCTGACAAATAGTGAATATATGATCGATACAATTAATCGGAATAACTATACATATGATGTGAATGTGTATATGAATGTTGAGAATGGTCCAACAGGATGCTTAGTACCTGTGTGGTTGCGCCACAGGATTGAGCTATACTATTCAGATTGTAGCATTAAAGCCTATACGGTGTCTGATTCTACTGTGAAGTGGGATTGAACTATACTGCTCGATTTATAAAATTTAAGTCTGACCTCATCAAGATTCCAAAGAAAGGAGATCTGAGCAAGTGTGAAAACTACAGAAGCATCACACTACTGTCAGTACCAGGAAAGGTATTTAACAGTGTTGCTGGACCGGATGAAAGACGCGGTAGACTTCGAGATCAACAAGCTAGATTTCGTAAGGATCGTCCGTGCACAGACCGAATCGCGACACTACGGATCAACGTCAAACAATCAGTTCAGTGGAACTCGTCACTATACACCAACTTCATTGATTATGAAAAAGCGTTTGACAGTGTAGATAGAACGTTATAAAAACTTCTTCGACACTACGGAGTTCCTGAGAAGATTGTCATTATTATCCGGGACTCATACGACGGACTACAGTGTAAAGTAGTGCACGGAGGACAGCTGACAGATGCATTCGAAGTAAGGACCGGAGTAAGACAAGGCTGTCTACTCTCTCTTCCTCTTTCTTCTGGTGGTCGACTGGATTATGAAGACCTCGACACCTGAGGGAAAACGCGGCATACAATGGACAGCTCAGAACCAGTTAGACGAGTTGGACTTCGCAGATGACCTAGCCCTCCTATCACATACACACGAACAAATGCAGACAAAGACAGCCAGTGTAGCAGCAGTCTCTGCATCAGTAGGCTTTAACATACACAAGGGGAAAACCAAGGTCCTCAAATAAAACACGGAGACCACGAACACAACCACTCTTGATCAAGAAAATCTGCAAGATGTAGAATCCTCCCCATACCTGGGAAACATCATCGATAAACAAGGAGGGTCAGATGTAAATGTAAAATCGAGGATTGGCAAAGCAAGGGCCGCATTCCTTCAATCGACGAACATATGGAACTCAAAACAACTTTCAACAAATATCAAAGTCAGAATCTTCAATACCAACGTCAAGATAGTTCCACTGTTCGGAGTTGAAACTTGAAAAACTCCCACAATCAACACCAAGAAGGTAAAAGAATTTATAAATAGTTGTCTACGCAACATACTCAACATCCATTCGCCGGATACCATCAGCAACAGCCTTCTGTGGGAAAGGACAAACCAACTTCCAGCTGAGAAGGAAGTTAGGTAAAGACGATGGAAATGGATAAGACATACATTGAGGAAATCATCAAACTGCATCGCGAGGCAAGCCCTAACTTGGAATCCTGAAGGGAAGCGGAAAAGAGGAAGGCCAAAGAACACATTACGTCGGGAAATAGAATCAGATATAAAAAGGATGAATAACAACTGGAAAGGATTGCCCAGGACAGGGTTGAATGGAGAATGCTGGTGAGCGGCCTACGCTCCTTTGCGAGGAATAACAGGCTTAAGTAAGTAAGTAAGGGGTATAGATCTCCTGTTAAACGACATTGAATTGTAGTGTTTTGGGTTGTCACATGAAAGTTTGGATGGTGTCTGGTTCTCCTGAAAACTAATGTAAAATTACCCGGACCCACAAGGGTATACGATATAATTAACTTATGTAACTATAATCGATACAGCTACAATCAAGTCTAATCCAACCTGATTTTCTCATCATATGAAAAAGCCTCTTTTAAATCTTAACAAATTAATCTGTAGAAATACATTGATAAATCATTTATATCTTTATTATGATGATTATGATCATTAATTCATTTACAAGTGAAGTTTAAAAAAAAAAGGATGATCCTGATCATGATCATGGTGATGAGGATGATCATGATATTCCTGTCTCTCTCTCTCTCTCTATTTTAGTAGATCGAATTAGATTGAATTAGGAAAAGTTAAAATCATTAATCACAGAGAAAAAAAAAAACAAAACAATGATTCGAAATGAAAAAAAAGGAAGAAAAAGAAGAAATAAAAAAAATACAAAAACAAAATCTATTGAAACACATAAATGAAAATATAGTGGATATCTCTAATGGTAATTATAATTATTATAAAGTTTCTACATTAGATAGATTCATATTCGTTGGATAACAATCAACTAATGGCATAATTGTAAGATATGCATCAAAATTTTGCCATAATAATGTATAACTAACATGAAAGCTAATAAGAGAAAGAAATGAAAAGAAAGAATAAATGAATGATAAATAGATTGTATAACTATTCAGTAATTAGGTTATATATACATACCCCTTGTTATAAGCTTCATTTTGACCTGTAGACTATTATTATATGATTTACTGTTTTTAAGTTATATTTGCCAAAAAATGCCCTGGTATAACCGAGAGTCAATCAGTAACAATGTACAACTTTGTACGTACGTACATTAGTTCGAGTTGCCAAGAGTGGGGAGAGTTAGCTCACCCTCTCTTCAAATGCTCTCACATGGCCACGCGTATATAGCCTCTGCCAGGGAAGTCCTACTCACTGCCTTCTCGTGGCAGGGGTGTTGTCTACAAAAATGAGAGGACGAAAAGCGAATGTCCGGCACCGGCTTTAACAGGATCCCAAACCAATGGTACACATGGGCTAGCTCCAGTATCCTGAAGGAACAAATGGCGTATGAACTAATCGTTGGTCACCGGCTAACATGGGACTGCACCTCTTCACGATGCTCCACTGCCTTGTGGGTCAGACGTTCAGATCGAAGGCTCGAGGTGTGACCCCCTAAGAAAACCACCTGTTTCGGTTTGGGCACCCGAACAGTATCACAGCCCTCACCCGTATAAAATGAGATTAGTGTGGCGCATATGTATTTGGTGCCTCCTTGTATCAATATCTATGTGTTCAAATAATAAAAAGATTGCTTGAAATGTATTACACTAATCTATTATTACATTAGTTCTAATAATCTTCATCTTTTTAGTACATCTATCAAAATTTACCAAAAGGGGATTAATTACTTGCAATGAAATAAAGAATAACATACTGTATTATAAAATAATATACCATATTAATACTTACGTAAAAGTAATGTATATATCATGGAAGTAAGGTAATTTCATAAGACATAATTTACTGAAAAGAAATATACGAAAATAGATTTATAAAAAAATTAGTTAAAAGTTTGAGTTATATACTTGAACTGTTATACAATAGAAGTGAAGTTTCGTAACTGTTGTTATAAATTAACGACATTATCTTCAATCTCAGCTATATTCTTATTAGAATAAGATAACTAGTTTTGTAAACAATTCATTTATTTACATTTAATATTTGATATATGAATGTACTAACTATGGTCATCAGTATGGTCTATCACATGAATTTTATTTATTTATTTATTTATTTGAACACATAAATATTGATACAAAGAGGGCACCGAATATATATGAGCTATACAAGTCACTTGATTTGTGTGTAGGTTGTGATACTGCCCGGTTGCCCAGACTGAAGCAGGTGGGTTTTCTTAGGAAGCCACACTTGGAGCCTTCGACTCAAAGGTCTAATCCACAAGGCAGTGGAACAACGTTAGGAGATACAGTCCCATAGTAGCCGGTGACCAACGATTGGTTTATACGCCATTTGTTCGTTCAGGATCTTGGAGCCCATGTGCACCATTTATTTGGAATTAGTCGTTATTGCAAGAGGTGTACCAAAAATGGTCACCCAGTACAGTATGAAAGCTATGGCTACTATTTCAGTTGTGATGTTGGTTATCGGTATGACTATTGGAAAACTCGTGAATCTGTGTATGCATGTAAATAGATTATTAAAACCAATTTTAATCAGAGCTATTCAACAACTTATCTAAACTTTTCGGATCCAACAGAATACATTACACTGCGTATCAACAGTTGTCAAAACTGACTCAGTGTTCAGCAGTAGAATTAGTCTTCGGGACGACTATAAGACTACCAGGTGAGTTTATCAATCTTCATACTGACAGAAAAGAGTTTGATTTAGAAAGTTACGTAGACCAACTACGGTACTAAATGTCCAAACTTAAACCAATTAGTACTCATGAACAATTGCGAGCGATATATGTACTCTAGGACCTAAGCAATTGCATACACGTCTGGATAAGGTGTGACGAAGTAAAAACACCACTTAGTCCTCAATTCGAAGGTCCATACAAAGTTATCTCAAGAAAACCTAAATATTTCGTTGTACAAATCAGGGAAACACTAACTCTGTAAGTATTGATAGCCCAAAACCGACTTGTGATAATGAACCACCATACGTGTTATTAGACCGTCAACCTGACAAAAACAATCACAGGATTGACAAGTAACAACGAGAATTCTGTACAGGTTTATTTTTATTTTATTTTATTTTAACACATAAATATCGGTACAAGAAGGCACCAAATACATATGCGCCACACAGATCTCATTTGATATGTGTGAGGGCTGTGATACTGCTCGGGTGCCCAAACCGAAGCAGGTCTGTACAGGTAACCAAAAAGTTTAAATGGGCACAACCGGTTATTCAAACGGGGATATCTACATTTTATGCACAAGCCTACAATTTAACCACGTATCTATTAAACTTTTAGTCGAATAAATTTGTTTGTTTAAATAATGAAAACAAAAAACGAAAGGCGTTTTTCTTCGTACCGTTTCACTGATTTTATTTTTGTAAAAGTATTACCACAATAGTAGTAGTCTTAAGGAATATCTTAGCTTAGATTGATTTGTAAGTTCAACTTTGAAAATGTTAGTCTTCACAAATCTCCAAAATAGATACCACATTAGTCAAAGCAATTCCTCAGTGATCGTCACAAGGGAATTGTTCTTTTTTACAGACTGGGACGATTAGCGATCTGGACTAGTCAAATGGGATTACGTCCAGTTCTCAGATTCTAATGATGTCAGTTAATATAACTGCTGAAACTGGACCACCATATTTAAAAAGCCCTGATTTATCAAATCTTCCTCAGTATTTGGGCGAGTAGTATGACAAGTTGGACGTCGAGTAATAATAATAAATAATGTCCTTCTCTAGTTGTTCCTGAAATATGTTCTTAACTTCCTCATCATTACTTAGAACTCTAGGAGTTTTGCATACTGCGATTGTTCTACGTCCAGTAAGATACAGAGAAATACGTGCTCGCACTAGAGCATGATCCAATTCCAAACATCTTCTCTAGAATGAGCGACAGTCTTCTATCAAGTCTCCCAAACAATGTTCGATGGCAATGTGGTCTATTTGAGTTAATGGGTGAGTCCATTGTGTGAGTTACCATGTCAAACGATGTTTTTTTATGCCTAAAATAGGTACTTGCTAGGGATAGATGGTTATCAGAGAATAGTTGGCACTATCGTAAGATACACTTGAACGCATTTCAGTTTGGCTTAGTTTACTTACTTAGGTATTAAAATCACCCATTATTACCATATCAGAAAGCTTAGCTTCCTTATGGCCGGAAATTTTCCTGAAAAATTCATCTTTTACTTTATTGGAATTGTAATTAGTGAGTTTAGGTAGAGACAACGGTGTGTACCTATCTTTTAGTTTTCACTTTCTTGTTGAATCGAGTAGTGCAAAAGCAACTGTCTATTGGAATTCAGTCTAGGAAATTATATTCTACTTACAAACTAAATGCTACACCAACAACAGCGGGAAGTATCAACGGGGTCCCCAGACACACAAAGAGTAAATCGATCCGCTTCTTTATATTGATAAGGTAAGATCGAATGAACGACCGCACTTGGATCTCGTATAAGCGTTTCAAAGACGCAAAATACATCAATGGCGCTAGATTTTAGTCCCGGCTAAGGTAGCCCGATATTTTATCAGACACGAGGTTTAAACATAAATAACTCCAACATGTAGTTTAGATTGTGGTTTTAGGAGGCTAGGAATAACATTTCGTAAACTCAAATCATCAGCGTTGGTGGTGTGTGATGATAGGGATGTGCGAAAAGGGTTGTCCATAAAGATGGGAGAATTACTAATGAGGGGAGCTTTAGTCGTGAACAAAGTGACCTTGGGTGTCATTAGAGATATGGGAACGGTTTTCACCTCCCGCCCATCCAAAAAGTGGTGGATATTTCCTCTTGATGTGTTTGAATAAGAGTCTGGGTTAGTAATAGTTTCAGTGGCCTGAGGGCTTGACCACAGAGCCCGAGATAACTGCCTGAGGCCGATTGCGCACGGCGTTTTATAGGAAGTGTCTATCTAATGAGTTAGCCCGGCGCCTCAAAATCTCCTATCGTCAGAGACAGAAGTCCGTGGGATCAGGCGAGGTATGACACCTACCTATCGTTGTGAAAAGGCAGCATTGCTAAAGATCCCGGTTGTCCGAGGGAAACGCTCTACTACTGTGACACCTCTCTACAGTCAGCAGAACCCACCGTAGAACATTGAGTCGCTGCTTTTAGTCTTACTGTGCCCCAACTGACCAACCTGAAATGGTAGGACCTAAAGAAAGATATGTTCCGGCCAGTATAACTCGGTTGAGTCATCACAATAAGCAAGCCCTGCCACCACGCCAAGGTGGGAGCTACAGTTAAGTGATCAAAGTAGTTAAGAATAACGAATGTGAAAAATGATAAAACGTACGGTTTACTGTATCAAACCCGTAGTATTCTCTAGATTAAGTAGCGTGAAGCACTGTCACAAAGAGTGGACATAATGGATAACAGGGTTGCAAAGCATAAGCCAAAGTAATGCGACCACATTCGAAGCGTAACCCTTGTTAAATAACGCTGTTAAACGAAGTTTCAATGGGACCAGCTGTAAGGTAGACACAATTACATATGAATTTGTTTACTGAAATTAACTAAATCTTGTTCCTTTCCCTGCCCATCTATTTTTACATACCGGCCGTAACTAAATCTGTAGTATATGAAATGAATCCAGATGAAAACAATTACCAACTTACATAACATCAAAATGTTTATGCTCAAAGAGTAACTTCGTTGTCACATTCAGTAAAGTTTCTGAGCGAAGTGGTAGCATCTGAATGGAATTGATAACAGTTTCTTGTAGATCCACTGAACGGTATTTCGGAGACACACTAATTTTAGTTATTGTGGTTGGAACAAAGTTTGGATTTGAGACATTAATCTGGTTCTATGTGGGACTCACAGGTTATATAAAATGAACATACAATCACTGTGAGATCTATCAAATTATCTTGCATGTTGGCAATGGCACTTATGGTAATTAACTTGTACACTGAACTTCTCAAAGAGATTGTTCGCGGAAAGAGAAATACCAATAGCAGTATAAATACTAGGGAGCAGATCACTACAGATCCAAAGAGTTTAAGGCATATTCTACGCGGCCGAAGACGTCGGTCTGTCAGAGGAATTAAAGCCACATACTCTGCTCTGGAATCTGACAAATTATACACAATTTGCGTACAAAATACCTTTCCGCACATAGCCTGCTCCGGAACATGTTGGGCAAGCAACTTGAGGAGAAATTACTTCATAACTTGGCATTCCAATTGACCTCGAAGCTTTCAAACAACCTTCAAATTCAATACCCAATATCTTCGACACGTGCTTACATATACTGACTGGTTTCACTGTGGTCACTTCATGTTGTTTCGGTATGGTTCCACGTTTTTGATAATCCCAAATGAGAGGTTATCCAGCTACTCAACTGCTCTAGTTCTAGTCCACTAGGTGGTAAATATCAGATTCTTAGTAGCCCATGAACTATTACAACAGACCGTAGACCCCAAAATAAATAGCTCTGTAAGTCTTCGACATTGGATGCTGACCACATTAGTTTTAATGAACTCACCTAGCTGAAGGCGCTCGGTCATGCATCCGCACCAGGTCACGAGTGAGAACGCCGTGTTCAACATCCCCTACAATCGCTGGCCAGATTAGATCTGACGATCCTCGATATATTGACAGCCTATCAACTATGTCTTTGAACTTCCTCGCTTCTTCTTTTGATTTCTCCTGGTGGGTACGATTCATATTAGAAGGTATTAATTACTGATTGAAGCGTTGTCAAACTCCGAATACCTGTGGCATTTTCAGTATGCTCCAGTAAAGACCTTGAAGGCCCCTTCGCTTCAGGCAGCAGGTTATCACTTCCGATCTTGGGTGATATGCGCTTTAACTCGTTAACTAAATGGTCCTTCAACTTCCAAGAATTCTCAAATCCCCCATTTGCTTCAGTGAATACAGGTCTAAACTCACATGTTACCCGGCCTACAAGCACTCTGCGTTTCACACGGTCTACGAAGGGCTACAGAAAATTATTTGTCGCCAGTCTAAGTAACAGACCTTTGACAATAACGTGACTGAAAAATAACGTCAGCATAAACTAGATGAACGTCATATGTCTAGAAAGCAACCTTTTTACAAAATCCATATTGGTTTGTCCTTGGTGAGAGGCCTATGCTCATTCACGAGGACTAACAGGCGTAAGTAAGTAAGTCAGTTGCAAGAATACATGAAAATCATATTTCTCCTTATTGGTATCATCTCACAATTCCGTTGTACTTATTACAGCTCCTATGACTTTTATCATATGACTTTGTCGCATATGTGCTTCCTTTATGTATTTGGCATCAATTATTGATAATATATTGTTTACAGGATACAGATTTGCAGAGATTGTAGTAATTTTTCATAGTTGAATTCATAAATCGATTAAGTCACGTCTACCAATTCTAACTCTTCGTTAACTACCTGATGTTGTTGTGTTGATTGAGAACCGTTTATCATTGTTTTACATGACGTCATTTTATGTCGGCTACCACATCGGTAATCTGTACTTTGGTTATTACATCTGATACATGTTGTCAATATTAAAAGCGTATCCGCTGTTTGATTGAAGAACTTGCTCTATAAAAGACTGGGAATTAACTACATTTTTTATCCAATTGCTGTTTTCTTGTTGATCGATCACCATTTGAGCTGATTGAACAGACGAATCCTCTTTCCTAGGGTAGGATATTGTTTCTTGCCTAATAGAAATGTTCCTTTTATGGCGATAAGTGGTATTTAGAAAGTTCCTGTTACAGTTGGGAAGTGCCGTTCAGAAAGTATTAGCTTTATTTTTTCCATTTTTCTAATAGTACCTTCTTCACCATTTTGAACGTCTGTCACTTTTTATGGAAAGTTGTTGTGTATTACCGCCTTTTGAATTGCTAAACTTGAAGAAACGTAACTATGGAAGTAATAACGAGAAAGACACTGTGGCAGTAATCCATTGCTAGGTTCATCCTACTTCTCTGTCAGACTCGCCAATTTGCCACAAAATAGCAATCCTACACCGAAAATTCCAGCGAAATCTTTGGGCGAACGACGTCAGCAATAAAACTGTTAACAAAACGCTAATTTAACTCATTCGAGTATAATCATGGGCTTCTATTGGAAGACTACTTACTAATAGCAAGATCATTTGGTTTTCACTTCTGGCTAATCACCTCTTGTGGTTCTAAAATCACAGTGTAGGTGATTAGGCAGTAGCGACATTATATGTTGGTCCTGAGTAAACACTTAACAAGAAAATCTATGGCTGGAGCAGCGATTAATTTAGCCCAATGACCACTTAAAGGGTATCACCAATCATATGTGGCCATTAGCAGAAGTGTGATTAGGAGTCACATAGAGCAGTTTTTCTGTGATAGTGCAAGTGATATTCGGCATGCTAGGATTATCTGATATTAGAATTTAGAGTAGAATGGTAGTCTCTGACAAATTTATGTTATAAAATTTTCAGACGAACTTCGTCCTTTAACTATGCTTAAAAAGTTTAAGAATGCTAAATGTATATTTGACACCCTAGTCGGGGGTAGGCAAGTCGAAAATATATGTTATTCAGACGTATCTGATAGAAGTCTGTAAGCTAAGTTAGAAGAAACTTCAGGAAGAATTAATGTAGAGAAGAGGGATCGTACATGAGTATTCACCGATCAGTAACCAATCATGTGGAGATTTCATTATAGATCTTAATCGCGACAAATATCATCCACTCTTCACGACTTGTTTATATTGAAGATTCCCGAACACATAGTTCAATCGTTCTTGATAACTTGACAAAATTAACAAAGCCACCTCAAGTTACTCGTCACAACAACCACAGCTACCATATTACGGAACTAATGAGCTTAAAATCCCTCGAACTGTTCTATTGAACAGAAATATCAGTCGTTTGTCCTTCGCCGTCTCCAATCTTAACTTTTAATCATGTATTTTATAACCGCATTTGATTTACTTTAATCTTCTTGGCCTGACATTTCATTATTTCAGTTTAATTAATGATTTACCTCTATTATTTGATCTCGATGTTGCATATTGCCAGGTCGTTGACAATCTGATCGTGTTTGACCAAACCCAAGGTCACGCCTGGTTTGGTTGATAATCGTCGACTTCGAGGCAACGACATGGTGGTATCGCGAAACTTTTTTGCGCTACTTTTTATTTCCACGTTATGCACAACCAAAAAACTATGTTGATTTCAAGTAAATCTGTGAATCGACTTTCTGATTCCAAAACTAAGTACATGGTATCACAAAGTCCTTGAAAATTCTTTATTTCAGTACCGCTATAATAGTTTCTCCACAATTGCACCTCGAACTAGCGTTGATTTCCACTCAGCTATACATTAAAATTAGACATATAATTTAGTTTTATACTAATTAACGTTAGTAAAGTACATATCGTCATAAAAACTGTATCGCTATCAAGGCTATCCAAACTGCGTAACAAGTAACGGAACCATAACAAAATTTTGTTTTTCTCTTCTTTATTGCAGTTTTGGGTTGTTTTCACTACTTTGTTCTGCTCTTAATCCAGAAATAGAATATTAGTGTAGACAGCAGCTTCATTTAGAGTATAAATTGTTATGTATCTACTCTACGTACTCCTAATGAGCTGTTAGTAATACCTTCTCTGGCTAGATATGTAAGCCACCAAATCATTATATTTCAGGAAATAGATCAGACTTGTGTACGAAACGTATGGTTATATGTGTCTTTCTCCAGGTATCAAGCAACCATCTCAGCTTTACTAGTTCTTGTATGGAGCTTCAGTTTTAGTGTGCCGATAATTTTTAAAGACACCCGGTAGCAAAACCAAGTACTATTAAAAGGTGATCCAGAAAATTTATTGAAAAGTACGATTTTTAAAAATTAAAATCATCAAATGCAGTTGTAACAACTTGGATTGATCAGTTAGGAGTTGGCCTCAAACAATTAGGTACATATCAAATCAACGGAGCTCAAGTATTCATTCACTTCCTTATTTTGCATAGGCATTATATTTTTCATTATCTTATATAAAACGTTGAAAAGCTTTGCGTGTTCGAACATGTAATCTCCCGCTCCTTTGTGACTGTTCCACGAGCTAAATAAAGACCCATTCACTACTAATCTAGTTTTTCTATCAGTAGAACGAGGATTACCTACCGGCACGAAACATTGACATTGATGCTTGGAACAAACAAAATGAGATTGATTATTAAGTACAGTTTGTAGTTATTTGAATTAATCTCAATTAAATCAAGAGAGCTGCTTTATTACCAGAATTTTCAAGATTTAACAATCAAACAGATATTCTAATTCTTGAATATGCACATTTGATCCTATCTTGTTGGGAGCACACCTATTGACTCTAGAGTACCGAATACTTATTTACTAACCATTCATTTTGCCTTTTAGCATCGTATTTGTGCCAGAGAAAAATTTGGCCGTTTAGCACAGTCATTGTTCACTCTTCACATGATGTGCTAAGCACAGCGTTTGTGTTTCGATATTATCTTTGCTGAATTTTCCTTTTGTGACAGTCACTAGGTGATGATAAAGTCTCCTCAAAGACTAATCTGGGCTGAAACTCGAATAGTATATTTAATACGAAAAGTAGCATGTTAAATAAATTGACTACACCTACGCCATACCGATCGATTTTTCCGCGTTCACCGTTTCTGAACTTTTGTGAGTGTTTATTATTATTAAATGAAAATCTTCTTAGTTGTTATATGTCCAGCCTCAAAGATCTCGCGTACAGAAACCAACATCAATACGGAACGACATTTCTCTAGATGCAACAGTCCTGAAAGAAATGTTAGTTAACAAGCTGGAAGTTCTCCTTAAGCTTCAAAGATATGTAGTGTGTAGTGGAGTCAATCGTTGTACGTAGTCTGATTTATCAAAACCGTTACTGCTCCGTGGTGTAAAAATTCCCCAGGCAGACGTAATGTCGTGATGTAAACAGGTCCAGCAGTGGAACGTTGATTACCTGTCTCTAGGCCCGTTCTGATACCTAAGAGAACGAGCGGTAAAGTTTCGTACCAATTGTTGTTCTTGCGTGCTCGAAGAGCACTTTTAATTTGGCGATAAAACCATTCAACTAAAATATTTGATGCTGGTTGTTAGTCAGTAGTGCGTATGCGTTTCGTACCAAGCAGCCGGGCTAGCGAGGAGAATAATTCGGACTCGAATTGTTGTCCTCGGTCAGTCGTGACAGTCGAAGGACAA